CCCACTCCCCACCTCCCCCTCGCCGCTCAGGTCTGGAGGACAAAGGTCTAGCGATGTCCATCCCCTCCCCCAGTTAGGGCAGCCGGGAAAGACCCGTACAGGTGTGGGGCTTGTTCCCCACAAGACATCCTTCTTAAGGAACGGGCCTGACCACGTTGTGCCACCACCCTCTCCCTTCTGTGTTTCAAAAGAGTAAACATAAAAGTTTGACAATCTGCTTAAGGACGTCTGGTAACTCGTTTATCACTGTAGACATGGGAAACACTCCTGAAACTTGATTTGGCTAGGAGTCGGTTAATTTAATGCAATAAGCGGCTTTCTAATAGATTCTTGACGAATGGCAACTTCAGGCTTTCAGATGTAATCAGACTGGCTTTTGTTTTGATAAATAAATGTAAGATGAAAAGAGGACTCCTTTGCCACTCCTTTTACCTATTAATTTTAAGCTTACCTCCTATGACTGAAATCTTAAGCACCAATATTTAATAAGGTTTATAAAGGACTTATGGATAAACTACCTTTAAATGTGAAAATGACATATTTTCAAAGAGTTTCCTCTGCCCACGTTGGTGGTGTAGTTCGGTGAGACTTGCACAACTTCTTGCTTGGTTCTAATGATCAAGGACACAGGTTCTAGAGTAGGGGGATGAAGTACATAGCCTTAGGATCCAAGTCTTCCAAATGTTTAAACGGAATGCGCTGCTACTTTTAAAATATAGATGATCATTATCCTAGGAATTTAAATACATTGTGTTTTGAATTTGAAACTTTGATAAAAGTCAGGAAGCTAATTTGTATTACAAAGATGTTTTCCCCGATTTCATGGTAGCACCTTCTGGCAAAGTGATAGCAAAAATTCTCCTGTTAACCAATTTTTAAAAAGAAAAGGGAGTGGCTTGTGGAGCTAAGCAGGGGCAGGGCAATGTTTTGAGAACTGTAAAGATGAAATAGTATGGATTAATGGCAAGTGTTCTAAAGCTAGGGGGACTAATTCTTTGGTGGAGGATGATTAATTGTGGAAGGGAAACTCCCAGAGGCAAGAAAATATTACTTTTACTTAAGAAGAAAAAACAAAAACTGAAGACTAACAGAAACAAGAATACCAAATTTCATTTCTTGTTCTTTTACAGTGTGAAATACAATATAACCATTTATACATATGATTAGTAACTTATTTCTTGATGGATGGTCTCAAAATTTATTTAGCACAATTCTATTTGTGTGATTGGGAGCTATCTTTTTCCACTAAAATTAATGAATAAACACCTTAAGAAAGTGCATTGGTTTCCACTTGTAATAGTAAAATAATGATTTTAATGCTGTTGAAAACGCATTAAGTTAAACTAATACAAATAATTTCTAGGTTTCTCTATTCAAAGCTTTCACAGAAAGAGCTTATTCAACCTAAGTGTTTCTCTTCCATTTTCAGCTTCCTTAATGGTAACATTACAGAGTTTAAATTCACCAGTCCCTAGCCTTTTCATTAAACCATATAGCAATTAAGTTCAATAAACAGAGGCACAGACCTTTGATTCCAAATAGCAGTGTTTTAAAATCCTGTGTTTCTAAGTAGAAACTAACTTAATTGGAGTAGGAGAATGTTTTACCATTTGGAACTAGAAGTGAAAACATGAATACAAAAAGTCCCCCCAATTTTCTTTTGGTCAGCATCTCAGGATATCTTTGTCAACGCTTTACTATTACCATTAGTTTACCAAGGCAAAAAACATTTGAGGGGTCAGATGCACCACCCACTGGATTAATAAAATATATCTGATGAGAAGAAAATAGGCTCTGATTGTTGTTAAATTATTTTTAATAGAACATTCCTTCCTTAGACCTAAAATAATTTTGAAACCATAATTGGGAAGAATGTTGGAGGTTGGAATCATTGTGATGTTTTTATGCTGTAATGAAAATAGTTTGAGAATATAGAGGTTGCTTAGAAAAAAAGAAAAAGTTTATCTAGGCTAATAACAGGCTTTAAATTGAATACCACTATTCATAATATTCATATGCCTCTATGCATAAATTTAATTCCATTCATTTATTCCTATCACAGACACATTGAACACCTACTGTGTGTCCAACACTGTACAAGCTTCGGAAAATAATGACACAATCTCAACCTAGAAAGAGCCCAGTGATCATATGTAAACACAGAGAGTGTAATTTTCCTTGTCTTGAGTAGTGTGCAATCAAGAAGCAAGCTAGAAATAACTAGAAACACATGCAGGAGAAGTTAGGTAAGGCAATGAACAGTGTGGAGCCACCATTATTTAAATGGGGGATGGAAAACTTAGCAAAGTTCTAAAATAGTGATGGATATGAATTTGTGAAGAGTGTGGAATGGCATTATTATTGGGCTGTCGGAAAAGTCATGACGTATTTTTTTTTATGTTTTTCATTGCAAAAATGCACCATGACTTTTCCGACAACCCAATAGTTTGGTAACAGGGCAGCCCAGGTAAAGGGGCAATACGCAAGACAGAATAAGGAAATTATCCTAGTTAGTATCTGTGGCAGATATTAAGAAAGGAAAGGTTGAATTGGGTATGAGGTATGGCAAAGGTAGAGGGATAATAAAAATAATACCTAACACTATGTGCAAGGTATTGTGCTTAGTGCTTTACATACTGTATCAAAAATCTTTGTTACACTTAGAAAACCCTAACTAGTTTAATTAATAAAAGAAATTATTGACTCATAACCAGAAAGTCCAAAGTGCATCTGGCTTTAGATATAGTCAAATGAAGAGACTCAAATGATGTCATCAGGACACTCTCTTGCAATCTCTCAGCCAACCTCAACTGATACCTGTGGTCAGAAAGACATGCTACTCTGATGAATTCTGGTCATTGTACACTACTAGAACCAGAGGACATGGGCAAGAGGTGACGCTCCAAAGAGATAGTGGGCCCATGTACAAAACAAGTCCAGTATGTGTGCCATATCTCATTCATCAATTTATTAACTATGAAATTATGGCCCCCATTATGTAGAAGATAAACTAGAGCAGGAACACTATTAGGTAAGAATTTACTATAGGTAATTAGGTATTATGATAATAAAAGGGCATTAACCAGAATGGTGAAAGATGGTAGAGAAAGAGGAGGGAAAGGAAGGCTCAAATCAGATGTCAGAAGACTACAATTTGATGATTGATTGGACATGGGAACAAAGGAGTTTGAACTTGAATGAATTCAAGTTCCAGTTTGGGAGGTTTTTAAAATGCTGGTGCAATCATTACAAATTAAGAGGTGGCAAAGGGCCACCCAGGAGCACCTGTCAGATCTGAGGGCCCAAGGATTGAGGAAATGATGAGTCAGCTCAAGTTCTCTGGAGCCTATTTTGGTCACACTAAAATATATATTCATTCAATAGTTTTTTGTGAACCACAGATAAGGATCTATTTCATACCTGTGAAGACCACCAAGGTGAAAAGGCTATGCTTTCAGACTTAAAGACATGTAAAATCTAATCACAGGAATAAAGCAAGTATATTAATAAGTGAAACATGCAACAGCACACAAGCATCTCTAGAGTAATGCAAATAAAGTGACATTTAGAGTTTAGAGAAAAGAGAGTGAGCTCATCTGTTTGGAGAAGAGGGGAGGCTTCCTGAAGAAGTTGCCATGTGAGCTCCACCTTAAAGCTTGGGTTGAGTGTCATCTAGGAAAATTGTAGAGGAGTGTGGGCCAGGCTGAGTACCAGCATGAGCAGATAGCGGTGGAACACAATTTAAGGTAGATTCAGGAAACAGTGGGTTATGCTGTTTGACCCAAAAATGGGAGATGTGAGAGAAAAGGCTGGGAAGGTAAAGTCAGAGTAGGGAGGCTGTTGGGTAGGCAACTGGATATGATTTTTGGAACAAGGAAATGACTTGCATATTCCCATGCTCTAAGATCTAGCCAGGCAAGAGAGTGTGGTACAATATGGTTTAAATTATCCATCTGGTGTGGCTTGTATTACCCTCTTTGGACTTAAATTCTGGCTAGAACATTTTACCATATACTCAGTGGAATGTTAAACCACAAGCCTGAAAGTAGTTTGTGGCAAGTGTAAACTGTTCAACCCGAGTTAAAGTCTTTTCATTTCAACTTTTAATTAGCATTTCTATTAAATCCTAAACTCTTAATCATGAGTGAAGTCAGAACACCATAAAAAATAAGTTATTTCCATATGTTAGCAAAAGAACTGACCCTGTAAGTAGCCATCTACTTAATTTTCAGTATAATTTTACTGAAGAGAAAGTACACACAAATAATAGCACCTCCCAAAACAGAACCTGCATTTTCACCAAATCCCCTTAGGTGACTCATATGTATGACGGTTAATTTTATGTGTCAACTTGACTGGGCTAATTGATGCCCACAGAACTGGTAAAACATTTCTGGGTGTGTCTGTGAAGATATTTCAGAAAGAGATTAGCATTTGCATCGGTAGGCTGAGTAGAGAACATGGCCCTCACCAATGTAGGTGGGTACCATCCAAACTGCTGAAGGCCTGAAGAGGACAAAA